AATGCTGGGGTCGCAGGTGGCCATCATCTTCCCAGCTTCTTACGTGAATTCTGGAGATCCAAACTCCAGTCCTCGCATTTATGCAGCAAGAACATTAGCCTCTGAGCCGTGTATGCAGCCCCAGGTTTTACATGGATTCTGGGGGTTGAATCTATGTCCCCCTGCTTGCAAGATGGGAGGTTTACAAACCAAGCTATCTCCTCTGCTTGAAGTTGCTTGTATGTTTTTCTTTATGTTTTAACTCCTACACTGAAAAGTTTGTTTTTAACATGTTTAAACACACACGTATACATAGACACACGTGCACACACACAAACACAACAGGTATCTAACTGTTTAATGTGTCCTCAAATTAACAAAAGTTCAATGTTATGCTCTGATAAATTTTTAAGATTTAGTACACTATCAGTTACATAATTTCCATGCAGCTTAAGTTGTATTTCTGGGATATGACGTGCTGTATTTGGGCTCTGGGGTTCTTGGCGTTAGCTTGTTTTGGATGTGTCTTTAAGAGGGGGGAGAATAAGAGAAGAGAAAGGGAGGGAGGAGGAGAAAGAAGGAAGGAGGAAGGGGAAGATGAGGAGGAAACTGATTTAGAATCAAAGGAGACTTAAGGTATATAGAAGCAGGTAAGGTTGCCATCAGACTGAAGCGGCATCCCCAGGGTCTAGAGGCCAAGAGCATACCTGCTCTGGGGACGACGGGAAGGCAGGACGTGGCTGCGCTGTTTTGTTTTGGGGTGCATGGGCTGACACATGCTAGGTAGACACGTTATCACTAAGCTGCACCCCCTCTTTGTTGTTGTTTGTTTGGGTGCAGGGTTTTGTTAGGTTGCCCAGGCTGGTCTTGGAAACCTCCTGCCTCAGCTCTTCCTGTCATTGAATCTGTACCCAGTTACCACTGTGGCTCTTCCAAATAATCTTCCCTTGTCAGCATCATTTAGAGTTTCCGTTCTTGTAATGTGCCGGGGCCCCCTAGGAAGGTTTTGGTGGGTACTCTGCACAAGGCTGGAATTGTGACTAGCATATAATTGCATAAAGGGACTTTACAGAGGCGTTCGCTTTGGGTCCCTTTATGGGGGTGGAGGGCCATGCTTTGGCTAAGAGACTTACTGTGTGTCTCCCAGCCTCCTCAATTCTACTTCCTGCCTCCCTGACAGCTGAAAGTTGGATGATTCTGTTTTTAAAAGTTCTTTAACAATTGAAATGAGACCTGAAGTCCTATTCAGCAGAAACTGGTTCCCTGGCCTGCCTAGTAGGACAAGTGTGCCAATGAGGGGCTCTCATGGGGTCTTGGGATTGGAGCCCTCCCAGCAGGATTCTGGGTCGCTTAGGACTGCATGCCATGTGGTACCTCTTAGCTGCGGGATGTTCTGATCTCAGAAATCTTTGTTCCCAAAGTGTTTTGTCCTCTGAGCTGCTGTCAGGTGATCAGAAAAATGAAACAGAGGAGAAGAGTGCCCAGGAGAGGTGGAGATTAGCTCAGGGATCTTGGGCTTCGCTGAGGTTTGCTCCACTCCTACCCTGCAGGGCTGATATGAATAATAAATGAAATGATGTCTGCAAAGCAGCTCGTGTGGGTTTTTCCTCCTCTCATACTAATTAGAAAAATTTAGAGGAACAAATTCTCGGGAAATGAAAGTTTCAGGGTCTGGCTTAGACAGGGTTTATTCAGCTTTGTCTGTCAAGCAGTGTGATAGAGGGCCTGTGTGTGCTGGCAGTAAACCTGGAGCCTCGGAAATGGTCCTGTAGGTTTTGTTGTTTTGTTTTTAATGTGTGTCTAGTGTGTGTGTGTGTGTGTGTGTGTGTGTGTGTGTGTGTGCTTCCTTAGATGTGAGGCCTTACTTTGACATCACATGGGAAGGGACTTTAATTTTAGCCATAGAACTTGTCTTCATGTACCTCGGGATTCAGATCTGCCTGGGACACACTGCTGAGGACGGAGGGATGCTCTCTGGCTCCTGTCGGGTCTCGTCTTATGACCACTGCCCTCACTCACGAATGAGGCTTTTCACTCCAGTCAGAAGCCTGAACGAGCCCAGTGTTTATAATGACAATGACAACTGAAGTGGCAACAGCTAGCATTTATTGACTATCTAACAGAATGGGATCTTTTTCTGAACATATCCCTGATCGCCGCCCTACTGGATAGAGAAAGTGACTATGCCCAAGAAACCAAAGCCTGTTGTTCTACCCAGGGACACTTTTCTATGCTGATAAAATCTCCATGAAAACTCTGACCCCAGCCTATCCTGCCCAGCTGCTTATCCGGCATCCATCTGCAAGTCCAATCTGAGCCTCCCAAGTTAAAGCCACGTGGAGAACATCACGTGATGCTTGTGACCTTGTGCTTCTAGATTGTACATCCTGTTTCCCTTGCTGGAGAATAAACTCCTAATGGTCAGGAACCTTGTAGGGGTGGGGGGCGGGGAATCTCCTTTATAACTCTCCAACTGACGACAGAGAGAGTAACTCCTGCCTGGTCCAGAATAAAGCTAGGGATGGTGTTAGCCTGAGCCATGTCACCGGGAAGGCTGTCATGGGGGTGACTGCTACCTGCGTGCTCTTCTTGGGAGCACTGGTTACCCATTTTCTCTGTCATTGGACTTCCATTCTGCAGGGCACACTGGGCTGTTTTCTGATGGTGGAAGAAGCTGAATCAGGCTGTGAAGTAACTCATTCGGACAGAACAAGCAGTCTGGGGCTGTTTGGCAAGGATTGGGTGACCATTCTTCCTTCTGCCGATCCCAGGGCTTCATTGCATGGCAGTGCATGTGTGTGTGTTTGCTTGCTTGTTTGTTTTGTTCTTTTATGTGGAACATACTTGAATACATCTGCGTGCACACCATGAACAAATTCATTTACCAGTTGCCATTTAGACTATTAATACTAACCTTGAACAGTCATGCCAGTTAACTGTCACTGTTTTTATTTCACCGATAAGAAAACTGAGACTCAAAGAGGTAACTTGAACAAGGTACCAAAATTAGTAAGAAATACAGCGGGGATTAGCATCCAGACGGGTGTAATAATTCGTTATAGTGACACTTAAGCATTAGGGAAATGTGAAATATTTCCAATTTGCAGATATATAACAAGGAAATATGCAAGCATGTTGTATATCCAAGGAATAGCTGCATTAAAAAAATATATAAGCATTGGTGCTTTTAAGAATGCATTCCAGCCCGGCAGTGGTAGTGCATGCCTTTAATCCCAGCACTCAGGAGAGAGAAGCAGACAGATCTCTATGAGTTTGAGGCCAGCCTGGTCTACAGAGCGAGTTCCAGGACAGGCTCCAAGCTACACAGAGAAACCTTATCTCGAAAAATGAACAACAACAACAACAAAAATAGACAAACAAAAGAAAGCATTGCAGTGACTTAGAAAATTCTGGGTTTGTTTGAAAGAAAACCAGTTCACTGAATATGCAGGAAGTAGTGGTGGGCTAAGGGATTAGAAAAGTACCTTCAATAACCAAAACTTCTGGGTTTTTAATGTAATATGACTTATATTAGTAAAAATTCAGCCTGAAATCAAAGGAGTATATATGTTATTCTTAAAAAACGATTAGAGAGAGGCTACAAACGGTCCCCAGGCCATGGGAAAGCGGCTACAGGAGGGCACGCTTCCTTGGCCCACGGTGGCGGCAGGTAACAGACACGTAAACACAGGAAATAGCCATAAGTATTTATTAAGGAAGGGGGAGAAAGACAGAGAAAAGAGATAAAAGGAGAGAGGAGAGATAAAAGAAGAGAGAGACAGAGAAAACGCGTGCGCACGCTAAGGAAGCAGAGAGAGAGAGGGAGAGGGTCCCAAGATGGCGATGGGCGGGTCAGAGGTTATGGGAGTGGGCGTGGCTAGGGCAGGGACCCAAGATTAACAATATACATAGTAAACAAAGAATTGTTTGCTACCAGTACTTCATGCATATCAACTACAAAAATGAGATTTCTAAGTTGAACTTGCCTGAAATAAATGTACTGTAAAACAGTTAACAAAAAACAGTGTGGGATAAATGGCTTGCTTATCTCAGTAAGATAAACCGTGGGAGCATCTGTGTCATACACAACTTGTGGTTAAATTGTTTAAAGTTCTTATTTTTATATGTCATAGGGCCAAAATTTCTGTTTTTAAAGGAGCGTTTGTCCCCAAACGTAGAGCGTCTAGTTTGTATTTGAAAAGAAAACTCAGTGAAGGGCACAAACAAAATAACTCAGCTTGGCCTTCACAAGATCCAGGCCTGTGACACTGGGGCGAGGCAGGAAAGCGGTTCTGTCCTGTGCCTCTCTGGAGACTTGCCCTCCCAGAGCTACATACATACGATGATCAAGGCAAACCAGCCAGGTCGGTTACGGAGCCTCAATCCCGGTCCCAGCTGTGTCTCGGTAGTGGCGAGGGATACAAGATGCGCAGAAGCAGCCATTCCCCGCTTGCAGGCAGGCACATCAAAAGCCTCTTGTCCTTGGAGTCATTCATGAGGACCAGGCACAGCCCCAGATCTGTCACACATGTTGGTAAAAATCCGTGTTTGCTGTTCCCTTAAACCGCCTTAGAGTGAATTAAAACTTGGGCACCCTTTGATTACACTTTCCCCTCCTTCGGCATTTTTAAGGACTAAGTGTGGGGCTGTCGAGTGTGAGCAGCAGAAAGTGACTGTTGAGTCTTCCTGATGAGAGAGAAGACTCCTAGCTGCTTCATCTCCTTAACTTCTTCGTGTAAGCCACATTTCGTGTGCGCCTGTAATGTAAGTCGACATAAATCCTGGCCAGCATTTTAAAAGAGCTTATTATGGGCTAGGTATATCACGCCTTGAGATAAATGGACCTTAAAAATCAGCCAGCACAGGTTTATGATGCATCGTTCTGCGCCCAGAGGTCACCCATGAAGCCTGGATTCCATCACAAAGCAGACTGGAGCTGGAAGAAAGCGGCCCACCAGTCACTGTTTCAGCCCCTGGTTGGAGTCTTTGATTCACGTGTCCTTTTTCTTTTCTCCTGCCAGGGTCGGGATTACTGTTCTGAAGAAGAGGATATTACATAGCATCGGTTCTCCCACTCGGACCAGGAGCTACTACTGTGTAAATAGGTTACACCCCAGTTGAAACCTTTGCAAAGGTCGGTTCTCTTCGCTGAACAGCACTATAGCAAACGAAGACCGTTCCATATCGTATGCCCCATTAAATTACAGTGTTTCTTAATGAACCTGCAAAGGAATATTGCTAAACACAAACATACACATACAAAAAAAAAAACTGTTCTGGAACTTTCTTTGTTGCTGCTAGTTAAAACTTGTTGCAACTTTTCACTTCTCTCGTGTCCAAGTATGCAGCAAAATTCTGCGGTTCACCTTTAAAGATACTATTGGTTTTCTGATGCTCTCCGGCCTATTTTCTATAAGATGTAGTGATGAACTCTGATACAGACTTCAGTCCTAGCCTGGTTCTGCTTTGAAGTCAAGCTTCCCTTCCCCTCTTTCCTCCTTATCCATCTCTTCCAAGTGGTCCAGAGATGGCCTGAGCCTTGCTTCTCACTGGTTAATGTGGGTCTGTGGAGATGGGATGGTGGCCATGGTGAGCCTTGTTTGACTGCTCCAAAGTTGAAGAGCCACGGTTGGTTAAGAGCATGTTGTGACCTGACTCCTGGAAGTGACAGAGTGAGCAGCAGGTCGTGCCACTTACTAGGACTCTTAGTGCAGGATGAAGCTTGTAGCATTGGCTTTGCTCAGATGCAAATGGAAGTGTGACCACAATCATTTTGAATCCCTCCTCCTCACTTTTTTTTCTAAGAAATAAACATTTTACTGTTTTTATGTATCCTTGTCTTCTCCCATTCATCCAGGTTAAAATCTCCCCTTTTAAGATGACCCTAAGTGTGGAAGTTAAGTGTTCCTTCACAGTGACACTGATGAGTGGCCTGAATGGCTCCCCACCCTTCTCTTGATATCTGCCCTGGTTTGGAAGGGCTGTGAGTGCTCAGAAGAGATGAAGGGACGACCCTGTGACTTCTTAGGGCTGGAAACCACCGTGACTTTTGGTTTTATTAGGTATTAAAGCACGCTGTTTTCTGACTCTCCCCCTTCAAAATGCTACGTGAGCCTGGCCACGTCCTTCCATTGTGTTTCCAGCACCAGTAGTATGGGTGAAAGGTGACTGCCTAAAGGAAAACTGGACAGTCACACGGTCATGCCATTTGGAGATGTGGAAGCCAAAAGTCCCTGGTGGTGGGGAGTGTTGACTACGTGTTCAGTAGAGTTTATTTTTCCATACTATATGAAGAGAATGGTCTCTTCTCAAAGACAGAAGTAATATTTTTAACAAATATTGTCACAAGTAAATAGCAATCAAAAGGAGAAAATAACTTTTGTATTTTTTTATCATGTTTGATAGCTTTGACGAGGGTTCTCTTTGTTACTTTCAGGGGAGGGCACCCTATTCAATGCCATGCCAGCATGCCAGCAGTCCAGGGTTGGGTTTACCCTACACACACACACACACACACAGGAATGCTGTGTTTTTCACTTTGAGGGTTGTGAGTTTCAGGGCCTCACTATCAGCCACACTGCCACCTTTGGAAGGTGGAACAGTTACCAGAGGGACAGTTACGATGTTCCCAGCTGTCAGAAGGTGTCCGCCACAGACTAGAATCGGGAGCTAAATTGGTTCTTGCCGAAATGAGCCTTGACTTTTAAATCTGTCCACAGAATGTCAAGATCTCCTGTTAGGCCCAGGGCGGCAAAAGTGAGGGAGAGAAAATGCAGCCGAGTGCTGTGGAAAATGGACCCGAGTGTAAGCAACAAAACCCCGTAATTCTTGCAGCCAGCAGCGGCTATTTTGGGGAGCAGCTGTGGCTGTTACATAAATAGAGTTGCAGCCAGAAGCTAAGGCTTTTTTATCCAGCTTCAAGCAGAAAAATGCAGGGAGAGTCAAGTAGTCTAGGGTTTTAAGTTCCCTCCCCTTGTACGGTTTTGGCCAAAGGACGAAAATAGTTTTCCTCAACTGTAAATGAACTGCTAAGCCCCACCTCAGCTTGTTCACTGGAGACTTTGTTCGCTGTTCTGTGGATGGCCTTTTCCGGATTCTCATGTTCTTACCGCACAAGAACGAGACGAATGGTAACGTCTTCCACGTGACTCCTCTACTCGGTGTCTAAGACAGTGTCTTCCCAGAACGTCAACACCCTCAACCCGGAGATGAAACACCCGTGTCTTTTGCCTCAGTCACGTTTAGCATTTTTGGATGTTACCCATGTCTCTTGGGAACCTGACTTTCGAGTGTTAATAAAACCCTAAGAACTGTTTAGGAAGCAGCGGTTGTCACAGTTCTGTCTCCTGTGTTTCACACTGGATACCTCCTCGCTGTACAGAAGTGATTTCATCTTCAGACACGTTTGGTACCTCTAGAAATAGGTCCAAGAAATGGGATGGTTGAGTGGGTTGGCATGAAATGGCTTAACTATGTTAGCAACACACAAAACTGTCTGTTTTCCATTTGTTGGTTTGAATCATAAAATTGTCAAGTGATTTGTGTTTGTACTTTATTTTTCTATACCTTCTGGAAGGATCTCAGTTAAAAATAGCCACTCCACCCCCCACATCAGGACTTAATGGGAAGAATTAATCCAGTATATCTGCTGGTACATCTTGCTAGTTGTCACGTCTGTAGGACTTGGCAGTTGGAAGGACGGGGGAAGGGAAGGAATTGGCCTGGTGGGTGCAGGAAGAAAACTGTTGAAAATGGACAGGAAGCTGATTTGAAGAGCCTTTGTGGAGGGTCTATGTGCTAGCTAGGGCAGTTTGTCTAGTGGCCAGGGGGTGGAGCGGGTCTGCTGGCGAGATTTGCAGCTGGGTTACACACGTCTCGTATCTTCCAAGCCGTAGAGTTGTAAAGGCTCAGCCGTGTGTGCGCAGCTTTCTTTTGCTTGGCAGAGATTCAGGATCATGGAGTACCGCTCTCATAATTGAGTACGTGTTTCTTGCTGGCAGACAGACTCAAAAGACGCTTTTACCTCCACGAGGCCTCCTAGCCTCGGGCGTAAGTGGGAGCATAGAGTGACATTATGGTCTATTTAGGGACAAAGAAGGGACAAAGTCCAGAAATGAGAAAACTAGGTCAGCCCCCAGAAACAGCCACACTCCTGTCTGCTGTGCCCGGGGTGACTCAAGTAAGAAACGCGTGGCCCAGGAATAGCCTTGGTTCCCAGCCCCCTAGCGCCTGTCTGTTCCTCCACTGTGAGGCATAAAGGTTCTCTGTGTCGTGGGTGTACCCAAGCACCAAGTGGCCATGCCAGAGAGATGGCAGCCCAGAATGGTAAGCCTCACCCCTAGCTCCCAGGTGGATGGCCTCCTACACTGAGTTACAACTTCGTCCTCCGCCCACCCTCATCACCATCTTTTTTTTCTGTTCCAGCAGGAATGGTCCTGCAGCCCTGCTAAAAGAGAATATACCTCTCCTGAATACCTCACTCACCTAAGTGCGGGTTGGCAGAGTGATAAGTCCTGTTTAGACGCTGGGTGAGAATTTAAAAGTTGCTCCATCTCTGCTGGTCCCAAGAAAAGACACTTCATTAAACATCTTTGTTTTGCAATAAGAGGAAATATCACTTTCTTAATCCTGGAGAATACAAAGAGTCTAGACTTTAAAATCCAGAGATTTTCATTATAAAAGATATAACAATGGATATTGAAATCCTCTCCCTTAGGCTTCTCTCAAAAGCAAGAGGTGGGGGCAGCATCACATTGTACTCTGTAATTTTACATAAGCTCTGCCTTCCTTGCTTTTTCCACCAGAAAGTTGTCTCTGAGATGTGAAGCATTACTCCTTTTTAGAAGTTGCTCTCTTTGTTAAGTGGCTTAAAACTCCAGTAGAAGAACAAGGCATGGTCAGTGGGTAGGGAATATGTGTTTTAAAGGCATAATGAAAAGACAGTTGGAAGAGGGCCTTCAGGATGTCATGGGTGGTCGGCAGATCCCAGTGTGCCTCTTCCAAGCTGGGAGAGCCCTCTGCCATTGCTCTGAGCTTGGGATTCCTTGAGTAAGGTCTGTGGATCACTTTTGCAGACAAACAGGTGCCTTCCTCTAATGGGGAAGACGCCTTTGATTTCCACAGTCGCCTTTTCTATTGTCGTGTCTCCAGAAAGAAAGAAAAATCACAAATCTGTGGGAGAATACATGTCTCTTGTGACAAACCGTGGGGCCCATTGGTGTCGCCATGGTTTTTAGAGGATCCTCTGTCATATCTGAGAGCTGATTTTACCTTGAGTGGGAAGAGGAAAGGGAACTAATAGTCAGTGTTTGTGCTCACTCCACGCCAGATGCTGCCCTCAGTATTCTGTCTTTAGCTCGTGTATTCTTCAGAACAAACCATTTACCACACACACACACACACATGCACACACACATCATGTTCTAAGTAGTGTGTCCTACATGTTGAATTCCTCTGTCCATGATGGTCATGTTAAAAGAAGGAAAAATATCATTCAAGTATATAATTACTATTATTATTGCACACCTTGCAACACTGTGAAGGAAAAAAAAAAGCCTTTTTGGGAACCCATCTTCTAGAGTCTGTCTTTGGCTCCTTACCAGCTTGCTGTCCTCATGGGGAGTCTTTCTTGGCCTTCACTAATCCTACAAGTGTCACACAAACCCTGAGAGGCCGCTGGTGACAGAAGAGCTTTGGGGCTCAGAGGGAAAGACTTTGGGGGATTTAGACACATCTTTTCAGCTTCTGAGGAAAGATGCAGCCTGCACCGTGTTTTGGGTGCTCTTCCCTGATTTTCCTAGGCTTGTTTCTTCAGAATAAGAATAATTTGAAAGATAAAAGCCTCACCTTTGCAGAGAGATCTGAGAGGCTCTGAGGAGGAAAGGCAATGCCTGGACCACTGACTTACGTGGAAATTCTTTCTAGTGGCCTACGCTTGGATGTTTCTCTTTCTGATTGCTGGGCTAGGGGGTCTGTATTTTTCCAGGCTCATTTAAGCGCCACACCCAGAGGTGACTCTCAGTGGTGACCTAGAGAGAGTCACTGTGGTCCAAGGTCAGGTCAGCCCAGGAATTCCACAGAGTTCACCTCCTTGCTCTGTAAAATCCGCAGGGTAAAAGATGAGCCATCTCTGCAGCAGTTGGTGAAGGTGCTACCTGGAGGGGACCGGCAGACGCCCCCCTTGACTCACACAGCAAGATCCCAAAGAATTTCTTGCCCAAGTTCCTTGGGAAGTAGGTTCCCCAGGATCCTGGTTGCTTCTAACCTAGCAACTTCTAGATTCCTTCTGGGCAGTGTGGGAACGGCTCTTAGCTCTTGGAAGCCAGAGAAATTCCTAAGTCAGGACGGTCCCACTAGGCTGAAGTCTCCTGTATGACATTGTCTCTTGCCCTGAATCCATTCTTCGTTCCTTCTCAAGGATTATTTTTAGATAAAGCCCTTGGATTTGACTGAATAAGATTTAAAGTAAAAAGAACAGCAGAAACTTAGTGAGACCTGCCTTCAGCTCTCCGGGGTTGAAAATCAGACCGTAGGGCTACTTGGCTCAGACCCAGGAGTTTAAAAAAAAAAAAAAAAAAGGCAGTCCCTGGCTTGATATTTCAGTGCAGACATTTAGGGGCCCTTCCCCTTTGACAGGCAAGTGAGCAAAGAGAAGTTTTGTTGGAGATTACAAGTCTTATTTTTTTCCATCCAACGAAAGATGTAAAGTCATAAAGATCTGCTTTGCTGGCTCAGACCCAGGCAGTTGCCTTATTAGGACGTTAAATTTGGATCTATTCTTTAACACATACACAAACATAGATCGATAAAGTAAACATAAATGCTCAATCATAGACAAGCTGGGGGATGGGGGATCTGTCTTCTGCCCTTCTGTAATCACTACAGTAATGTCTAGGGGAATATCCATATAACTGTAAGGACGCTCAAACTGGGAAACCTAGCGACTCCAGTGGGGGTGCCAAGGTGTGTGCGTGGTCTTCTTGCCCTGTGCCTGGTGTCTGCATGTGTCGGGCTCCCCTGGGCCTCCGGGTGGGTTCTTTGACTCGTGTCCTTTCTCAGCCCACAGTGGGATTGAAGACGCATGCCAGGCCCAGCCATAGCATTGCTCACACATTCCCATCCATCCACATGGCCTTGGCTGTGACATTGCCGCAACTCCCCTGGGACGCTCGGTTATCAATGTGTCGAGTCAGGGTACCTGTCGGTTGTCCTAGGTGTGGTATAGGTTAGCTCTCTCCTTTCCAGTCCCAGTGTGCATTCGCCAGATTGTTTGCACACCTAGTAGACTCCAGGCCCTGAGCCGATGGCCAAGCAATACAGAGGTGAACCAAACAGTTTCCACCCTTCAGGAACCTACACTAAGGAGATCTACCTGAGGGAGATCAGGGATACTGTGGGGTCAGGATGGAATGGTAGCCAGCTGGCTTCGGGCATAGAAGCTTCCAGAAAATAGCAGCAAAACCCATACTTGTCTGGGCACAGAAGGAAAGTACCAGAAGAATCATTCTGAGAGGACAACATGGGACTTCCCATGGGTGGAGGGGGCCATCTGGGGCCTCCTTTCAGGGAAAGGGTTGGAGCTTAGGAATAGCAGAGAAAAAAGCAGATGAGAACAGGGTAGCAAACCGGGCCCCGGGGCATTGCTGTGGATTCGTGGAAAATGAAGGAGAGTTTCAGAAACTTAATCTGCGCTCTTCACTCAGTGTGTGTCCCCGAGAGCTAAATGTGATCATTCCCGGAGTGGGAATTGCCATCCTTTGGAGATACAGAGCTGCTGGCTGGGAAGATGTATACCCAGCCATCCTTTCTTCCATTTCCAACTTCTCTTCCCGAAACACTGTTTGTGTTCAAGGTCTTTGGCCAAGGCTGGATCTGGTTTGGAGACAGCTAGTTCATCCTGACCCATCTTTAGAGAAATAACTACAGTACCTCTTGGGACTAGGTTGGCCTAGACCTGGGGATGAGCGTGCTCCCTAAAATAAATAACTATTTAGGAAGTGGCGTGGGCTTCCATGATGCGTGTGTGGCTCTAAGCAGAGGCAGCGCCTTTGCGTAGCCTTTCCTGGGTTAGCTCACCTGCACTGACCCTGGGAGGCAGCCAGGCCTCTACCAGGTCACAAGGACACGCTGGAGTCCTGCCAAGGACACAAGAGTAGAGGAGTTGGGGGAGGGGTGTTGCTCTTGAGTTGTTTGTCTTTTTGTTTCTTTTTTTAATCATAAAGTACAGATAAACCATGTGTAAATGCAGAATTTCCACAAGACTACACAGTGGCTGAGGACCTGGCAGGGACTTTGATTGAGGGGATCACCCCTGGAGTGAGACATGGGAGGCCCCAGGTGAGCAGAATCTGGCTGTGGAAACAGTTTGCAGTGCCTTTTAGGTTTTCCAAAGAACCTTTTCAGGGTTTGCAGCACTGGGTCTCTGTCTCTGTCCTCTCTCTCTCTCTCTCCTTTTCGACACACACACACACACACAAAATGAAGTTTTAGGCAGAATAAACAGAATTAGATACATCAGCAATAAATCAGCATGGCTGGGAAACCAAGGCAAGAATCATGGGTGAGGTTCCCTGAGATGCTGGGGGCTTTGGGGCCCAGCACAGCTTTTCTAGCCACAGGGTCCTCAGCTTGGGGATCCCAGGTAGCCCTATTTTGCTGCTCTTGGGGTATGCAGCTTCAAGCTGTCTGGGTGCAGCCAGACACGCCTACCATCCACACCCACTTTCTAGACTGGAGGGAAGGATTCTTTGCTCAGACGCCCACTCTTTTCCCAGATAGTCCTCTGGCTCCTCCGCCAAGGATGTGCAGTTCGTGTCTTGTGGTTCCCTCTGGAGTATCCCACGTGCTGCCTCTAGCCTGTGTTGATGCTGATGCTGGAAGCCAATGGAACATGTGGCCTCTCGCTCACCCACTTGAAAATTAGGGCTCCCTCTCGTCATTTTCCTGCCCAGGCTCATTCCCTGCTCATCTTCATCCCATTGCCAAGAGGTGGTCAGACGGCCCCCTTTGCCGGTTGTCAAAGGCCTAGAATGGCTCCTCCCACAGGTATTGGTGTGTCTTTAGGAACAAGACCTTGATTCAAGGGAAAGCTACCGGTGAAGCATTCAACCTCAACCTAGTGTGCTCTTCTGGGCTCCTGAGAAGTCATCTTGGGGTGGATCTGGGAGCACAGAAGGGCTGTGCTGTCTGTGCGGGGACCTGTGAGGCAGTCAGGGCCTGTTTCCTTCCCACGTGGCTACCCTGTGAGGTACACCCTCCAGTACATTATTCAGTTAAGGTATCCGCGCATTTACTTTATAGTAAGAGACATAGCAAGAAGAGAAAAAACAAGGACACGGTTTTGAAACCCATACATAAAACAGTGTATAAGGAGTTTATTATTTTCTCTTGGAACAGTTAAGTGTGGCCATGGGTATCTACCTCCGAGTATGTTGGATACCCAACTTGAATACCACTACTTTGGTGCAAATCAGTATACCATGATTGCATCCCAAATCACTGTTTGGCACTCAGCCTGTAGAAGGAAAAAGTCACAAGGTAATCCCTGAGAGCTTTGAATCTGAGAGATCTGGGGCATGCAAACTCACACAGTTTAGATTTAAATAACTGATTCCCCCCACACACACACAGGAGAGCTGTCCCTACACAGTAGTGGTTACCGGGGCTGAGAACAGGTACATTGTACAGAGCGGGTGTTGTTCACCTTCCTTCCCGCATCTCCCGAAAAGGACATTGTCAATACCCAACTCTCTCCTGAATGGAACTTCTTGAACCCTCAGAGTGCTTCAGTCGTACCAATCCCATGGAACCAGTGGACTGTGGCTTGAGTATTATTTTTGATTGGACTATCAAGATGTTCTGATAATTCTGTTCCATTTTGAAAAGGGTCTGAGAAAGTATACAAGTCTAATTATATATACATATTTATACATGTGTATTTTTGTTTATTGTTACATTTTGACATTGGAGTTTCTATTAAATAATTTTTAACAGTTGCCCTGGCTCTGTCCTTTTTTTAAACCTTTCTTCCTACCTGGGTCTGGGTGGAAGGGGGTAAAAATGTCTGTGTGAGACCCCGTTGATAGCCTTGTCCCTCCTTTTCTCTCTTCCTGACTCTGAATTTGTGAGGGGAGCCCCTTTCATTTCTTCCAGTACTTCTGTTTCCACAGGGCATTTATTTTATCAGATACCCATGGAAGCCCTGATCTTTGGGCAGTCTCCAGTCTTTCCCATCTACTGCAGAAAATGTGTAAATCCACAGACCTGGTAATGCACATGCTAAGTATTTTCTTAGAACACCAAACATCCCTGCCTACACAAATAATCCCAATCAGCCCGAATCAGACCATTTTAAAGATGCCTGTGTTTAATGGGGTGCTCCTGGGTGGCCCCTGGGAAACATGGAAGTGGAGCCCACACGAAACCCGGAGACCACATGTTCATTCTCTGGGGGGCAGTTTAAGAAGCCTGTGGGAGTGGTCCCAACCTTCCCCATGGAGGGTTTACCCTTTAGCAGGCTTTCTTGACTCTCCCTGGGGAAGGGTCACTGTTTAGTGGGCTTTCTCGGAGGTGAAGTTTGGACTGAGGCAACTCCCAGGGGAGGGAGTTTATGCCAGGAGCTGGGGTGACACCCCCAGCCAAACAATCTGGACTTTTTGTATACAGGGATGTTCAGGAGCTGAGGTGATGCATTCGACCAAACATTCCAGACTTTTTGGATAAAGGGGTGCCAGCGAGCTGAGGTGAAGCCCCTAGCCATACAGCGCATGTGGGAAGTGATACAATATGGTGCCTTGAGCTTTATTCTTATCTCTTGTGTACTCCCTTGACACACACACACACACACTCACTCACTCACACAGACACACACTTTGAGACCTTGGATAAATAAATTACTTAACTTTTTCGGGCATAGTTAAAAAAAAAAAAAAACAGTCTCCTCTCCAAGTTTGACTGGAGGGGATCCCTTAGAAACTACCTTGCAAAACCCATCTGTTCCCCAAAGACTTACTTATTTGTCTCCTCATCCTGCTAGTTGACCCTTGTTATTTGTTCACTGTATGCTGAGCTCTGGAATCACCCAAGTATAGAGTGGGGGATTTGCTACTCCAAAGTCAGGCATGCCGGGGGGGGGGGGGGGGGGGCGCATGAATAGGGAGCCCTGCACCTTGCAGTCCCTACATGCCCTGCTTAGCTCTGCAACTAACTGAGTGGCTTTGACGTCTCTCCATGGCACCAGCTGTCCTCTGACAAGCCCTCGTCTGATCAGTTGGCCCACCAGCCTTTGGCTCATAGAAATAGGGTATCTTCACGATTTCCTGATGGTATGGTATGGGGAGAAAGAGCCAGCAGCGCGGGGAGAAAGGACAGGATAACCAGCCCCCAGCATTTTCCTCCAAGCCAAAAAGTTGGAAGTTCAAATTCCCTGCTGAGTTTTACAAACCCTTAACCAAGGCCAAAGCTCCAGCCCAGAATGATCCCTGCTGGAGCTTTCGGGACCCCCCCCCCTTAGCATCACAAAGGCCACGCCCTTCCCGCCCAAGCAGAGGTCAGTGTAATTCTGCCTCCTGCCCAGTTTCCCTGAAGGCTGTGGGTACAAGATGAACAGGTCATCTCTGCCGATTCACCAGGAAACAGACCCCACTCAGGTCAGACCTCTGCTTTACACCATGGTTCTATAACCTTTCCTCTAGTTTCCCCATTTACGTGACAGATCCTCTGAAGTCCCATATTCCCCGTGAC